ATGCAGAAAGAAGAGTTTAGGTTAGGGTTAGGTTAGATTTTTTAGGGGGGGTGCAGGGGGGCGCAGCCCCCCTTGCCTACATGTTTACAACACACAAAAAATGTATACAGTGTCGAGAAACGAGAGTTTAGTCATCAAACNTTTTTGGTTCATAACTGTTTTATAAACAATGAGCGACGGATAAAACTTTTAGAAACGTACTCTGGAAGGTCATATTTACAATGTATCAAAACGAGAAGCCAATCGGAGGGGGCTCCCCTATTCTGTACATTTACCAAAGGTTTTTTATATATAATAACGACCAAAAGTTTACTTGGTGCTTCTTTTTGATATCACTTCTTTTGTAAAACAGGTTTATTTTTAAGGAAGAATTTTTTGTAGTATTAGTAACTAGAATCCAATACGTATTGTTCGTGTACTTGGCGCCTTTTTTTACCTTTTTTTGAAAAGGTAAGTTTTTAAATACTACAAAACATTCTTTCCCTAAAAACCTGTTTTACAAAAGAAGTGATATCAAAAAGTAGCACCAAGTAAACTTTTGTACGTTAATTTTATTTACATAATACTAAAACTTCTTTCTCTATAAAATCTGTTTTACAAAATAGAGAATGTATGATACTACAAAAATTTCTTTTTCTACAAAACCTGATTCATAAAACAGTGATATCAAAAAGTAGCATCAAGTAAACTATTGTATGTACATTACTACATTATTGGAAAACAATATAAAACAATAGAAATTATGAAATAATTTTATTTTAGTTTACCATAAAATAAATATGTTACATTTGTTGAGATTAAGTATTTTAGTTTACTATTCTCAAAAAACTTACCTTTTAAAAATATTTTTTAAAACTTACTTTTTAAATATTTTTTATTTTGAAAAAATTTTTTCTTTTTCTTTTTGTTTGTTTTTCACAGAAAATAAAAATTTCCTGGGTCTACTTGTTAGTTTCACTATAATGTAACAAAAATTTATCAGGCCCAGAAAATTCTTTCTTTCAACAGTTTTTCCGTGATAAAAACATATCAAAGTACATAGTTTTTAAATAATCACGGAAAATAAAGTTTTGTTGAATCTACTTGTTAGTTTCTCTAACAAATAAATAATCACGGAAAATAAAGTTTTGCTGAATCTACTTGTTAGTTTCTTTAACAAATCGTTTCGTTGATGTAAAAAAATATGTAGTAGACCCAACAAATTCTTTCTTTGCTGTACAAAACTGTTCCGTGATAGAAACGTTTCGAAATAGATAGCTATGTACCATAGGGTGTTTTGGGGTAAAAATCAAAAATTCATATAGATTTCGAATTTTTACGACAGACGAAGTTTATCCTGATTGCTTAGAATGTGAAGTAAGATTTTGTATAAGTGTACAGTTTTACATTAAGTTTTATCATCTTTTTGTAAATTTTTTTTTGTAAAGAAGGAATTTTTTGTAGTATATAGTAAAATTATTTCATATTTTCTATTGTTCTATATTGTTTTTCAATAATGTAGTAATGTACATACAACAGTTTACTTGATGCTACTTTTTGATATCACTGTTTTATAAATCAGATTTTGTAGAAAAAGAAATTTTTGTAGTATCACACATTTTCTATTTTGTAAAACTGATTTTATAGAGAAGGAAGTTTTAGTATTATGTAAATAAAAATAACGTACAAAAGTTTATTTAGTGCTTTTTGATATTATTTCTTTTGTAAAACAGGTTTTTAGAGAAAAGAATGTTTTTGTAGTATTTAAATTAAATACAATACGTGCTGTGCGTGTACTTGGCGCTTGTTTTTATCTTTTTTTAAAAGGTAAGTTTTTCGAGAATAGTAAACTAAAATATTTAATCTCAACAAGTTTAACACATTTATTTTATGGTAAATTAAAATAAAATTATTTCATATTTTTTATTTATATATAGAGTTGCAATTTGTTACTATATTTTAGAGAATTTTGTATGTGTGGTGGTATGATGTTTTGTGACATTTGTTGTAAGAATTGTAAACGTATTTGGTATTTTGTTATCCTGCGATTGTAAGTTATCCATTCCTTCATGTTCTTAATACAATGGTAACCACAACTTTTAGTCACAAAAGTGAAAAACGATGAACAATCCATTATTTCAGCCAGCGTAATTAAACAATGATTTATATTTGTTCAAAATTAATAAAATACAAAGGCAATACAAGCATTTATACAGGTTCTTTGTGTATTAATTTTTTATTTTTTTAAATTATTTTTTATTAAACGTTTTGATCTATCTTTTAAGATTTTCATCAGTGATTCTCTACAATTATTATTAGTTTTAAATTACTACAATATTTGAATGAATAGTGAATACACGCATAACATTGTAAAGGAGCCAGATAGTCTTTAACATGTGTCAGTTGAGTTCCTTACTCCCCACACAGACATTCATCCATCCAGACATCCATTAGATATCTATTAGATGTCGCATGGATCTGTCGACGTCTAATAGATGTCTAATGGAGTTTTTGTTCTGTGTGGGTGTGAGTATTAAGACAACCACACGAAACGTACAGCATAAGGTGACATGGTACCTACATCTGCGTTTATTATTGATAAGCAATCACTATTCACTCAAATATTGTAGTAATTTAAAACTAATAATTATTATAGAAAATCACTGATAAAGATCTTAAAGATAGATCAAAACGTTGTTGAAAAATAATTTTAAAGAAATTTAGACAAGAAGAAATAACAAACTAAGAAATATATAAGGCCTTACGAGCCGTTTCCAAGATGTTGAGCGGAAACTGTACGTGTATATATATATATGTATATATGCATACACATGTAACAAGTTCAACTTGTAAATTTTTACAAGTGAGTATTTTTTGAATTAAAATCTCAATTCTTAAATTCATACGGGATGCTGGATTTGCATCTCACATATGACAGACCCCGGATACCCCTCTAACTAATTTTTAAAATATTGCGAAAAAAACTTCTCGGCCAGGAGTCGAACCTGGAATCTCCGGCTTTCTGTGCCTCGATGGTCTAACAGGGAAAACATAGTACGGAAAGCCGGAGATTCCAGGTTCGATTCCTGGCCGAGGAGATTTTTCGCAATATTTTAAAAATTAGTTAGGAAGGTATCCGGGGTCTGTCATATGTGAGATGCAAATCCAGCATCCTGTATGAATGTAAGAATTGAGATTTCAATTCAAAAAATACTCACTTATAAAAATTTACAAGTTGAACTTGTTACATGTGTATGCATATATACATATATATATATATTGTGACGTTTTTCTTAGTTCTTGGTGAATGTCTCGCGTCGTCCCGCCCGAAACGAAAGTGCGAAATCGGAATACGGACGGAAGTCCGCGAGATCGGGAACGTCTATATCGGCAGGAGAAAAAGGGATGATAAACCGAGCACACCACTGCGCCAAGCCGACGGATCCTTAGTAAAAATTCCGGGCGCCAGACGCGTAACCGCGTCAAAATGTGCGTTGCTCGACACAATGGGCCGACTAGCTCTATTGGAACGGAGAGGGGTTGGGTCTGGGCAATAAATAACTAAGGCTGTCCCGAACGAATGACAGATTAGAATCGCAATCAACCACACTGCAGACAGAGATAGAAAAAATAAACAATTTATTATAATACCGCGGAGTAAGAGACGATTTTGCGAAAAGAAATACAAAAAAAATACCAAAAAAAAAAATACAAAAATGAAGTTCGCCTATATATACGGCGAGTTCGCTCTGTCGCGGCGATAAGTGATTACAAAAGAAATTAAAATAAAAGAAAATACAAAAGTACGGTGACGATTAACAATACACTTTACGCAGAAACGTAATCGATCGCAGGACCAACTTCGTATAACGACGCGTGACACCGAGAACGCTACGTCGTCGCGCGGACTTCACATAAACTCTACGTTACCAGACAGTAGGATAGACAACGTGCCAAGCGTTTTAATCAAAGCCTTCAAGAATCGGAAAGCGGCGGAAGAGATTGATCTGGTAAAATCGTGCGCTTACCACTAGGCGTGTCAAGGCGGTTCGCAAGGTGTAATATCTACGCCGCCGGACTTACTTGATTTCGCAGGGGCTGGTCAGGCTTATGCCGCGGCCATGCACAGCGCGAAGCTCTCGCCGAATTCCCGTCACTGGTCGCGATGCAATTCCGCAGCCGATTTTAAAGCAGCCAGCCTGTGCCAATTAGCACACTTGAGTGAAGCGCTCGCGAAATCGGAAGAGCTAGTTCGACTTGGAATCGAAATGACTGCAGACTTCTTCTGTTTCAAAGGGCGAGTCCGCCGTGGAGTTCGTCACACGGAACAAGAGTTAGGCGCTCTTCGATCCGACAGATCCCCCAGTACGGTACGATAGGTCTCTTCGTTTCGGTACGATAGCGGTAGGATATTCCCCTGTTATAGCTCCTCCGAATCGCTCACCTCTCACTCTAGGCAGATCACTCGGAAAATCCACACCAAAATGCCTTAGAAAATGTAATAGCGGTACGATAGAGTAGAAAGGTTAGTACAGCAGCAGGTGACCGATAAGCTGTAATTATTACGCAGGACGAAACACGTTACGATAGCGTTAGGAGGTTGCTGATACGATAATCGGTACAATACCCAGAATATGGCGGTCGCGAAACGATACGATCGATAAACACTTGTACACGCGAGACACAACAAAATAACTAGGATGCTGCTTGGCGCGTTACTGGAACTCCAGGGCTTGTAATACTCAATAGAGTAATTACGCAAGACGCACTTAGACCTACAAACTAATATCACGAAGCCCCGTGAAATCCGATTCTAGCCGCTGCCGAAAATTCGAAACTATGGCGAAGGTTATGTCCTTGCCGGTACCAATACGCGAGATTCAGCGACTAGCCTCGACACGAGACTTGAGTAACGCGGATTCGTGGCTCACAATTAAACGAGGACACCTCACCGTACATCGTCGTCACTCTCCATCCAGGAAAATAGCCAAATTCGCCGTTAAATGATAGATCGTCGGGAATGCCGTGAGTGCGTCCGTCCCGTTCGGTAGGTAGCGACCAAGAGAGCGAGGATCGAGATCGATTCGGGGTTGATGCGTCTGAGCGTGCTAGGATCGCTCAGGGTAGATCGCTGCGACCAATCAGGTCGCTACACGCGACGCGATGCTCACGCTCGGCGACAGGGCCCGCGGCCGCAAAATTCAAATAGACTACCGAGCCCTCACTAGCGAAAATGCAAGCAGCCGATATTCCCAAGCGTTGGATTCCGCAAATTTAACAGAAATGCAGCATGCAGTAGCGCAGCAGGGTAGTAGTTGCAGATTAGCAGCGAAGGTTTGCAGCAGGTTTTTCCGATGCGAAAGGAAGGTCAAAGCTGTCTCCATTGTTGGGTGTTTGCCTCTCTTCCTCGGCTACTCAGCGCCAAGGTTTGCTGTCTTCGTCGCTGTCCTCTCCCGCGCCGCTTGTTCTGTGAGACTCACCCCTCTGGCCGTCGTGCGAGTGCCTAGCTGCGACTCCACGCACGCCCTTCTCTCTCGCTTTCTCTCGCCTTTGTCCAACAATCGACGGCTCCTGATACCTCCTCCAGTAGTGTGTTCTCGGTGTGGTGAGGCGCCAAGAGCATACAAAAAATAACAGAATAAGCGACTAAATCTAGCGCACGCAAGCAAGCTCTGGAGGATCCTGGCGCTTCCCAGACGGTTTGCACCCCCGGACTCCCGCGATCATTCGAGCTTTTGTGGCGAGGGAGGAGCGACGCGATTACCTCGTCACAATATATACACGTACAGTTTCCGCTCAACATCTTGGAAACGGTTCGTAAGACCTTATATATTTCTTGGTTTAACTTTCAACGAGTCTTTATTAAAAATCATTATTAATTGTAAGAAATAACAAATTTGATTAACAGTAGTTTTTAATAAATAAACAAATTGTTAAATGTTAGAGGAGGCAATACGCATTATTAAACACTGTGACGTTTTTCTCGGTTGTTCTCGTATATTCACGTCGCTCCCCTGAAAACGGAGATTTATACACGGAACTCAGGACGTCCGCGAGAAAGATACGTCGTTCTAATGGCAGTACAGAAAAAGATATTCTGAGAGCTCACCGTCGAATCAACAAATCCTTTGATTTTAGTTAGGGCGCCGGATACGTTTCCGTATCAAACTCAGCGTTGTTCGGCGCAACGGGCCAGCTAGCTCAATTTTAGGATAGAGAGGGGCTGGGTTGATTAAGTTTTTTAGCACAGGCTGTCTCGTGAGCCCACGACCAAAATACCGCGTGCGATAAATAAAATCAGAGACCAGGTTAACAGAAATATAACAGTTTATTATGACACGTGGAATATAACAAAAATAAAATAATTAAAAAAGGAGATAGAAGACGTAATGAGAGTTCCGGAGATAACAAACAGAATGACAATGAGACTAAATACTGCAAAAGCTAACAAGCTACCCAAACTTACCAGCTCGGAAAAGTCGCGAGTATCAATATGATACCTGAGTTGCTGGACAAGGGTAGTCAAGCCCACTCGTTTCCAAGGACACGAATCCGACTGAGCAACGTGCGCAGGTTACGCTTAATCAAGAGAAAGCCGAAACAAGCAATTAGATCTTGCAATACGGTGCAGGCTAAACAGGCAAGAGAGTGCAAGCAGACATACGCGGCGCAACGGTAAATCCGGGAGAAATCTAAGCCGTTTGCTTGCCCGACACAAAGCTTTTGCCGATTATAAGATCACGATTCGTCACCGTCGTGAGTTAAGCAGAAAAGGCGTTTTTGGTACCCGCGAAATAACGTAAAGCGGGACGTAGCTGGAAGCGTTTGACAATTTTTATCTTGCTCATCCTGGCCAATCGCACCGGAAGACTCACGTATCTTCCGATCATGCATACAAAAAGGGGCGACCGTAAGACAAGCGCAGGCGGCCCGTTAAATCACCAGATACGACAAGCACATACGCCTAGCCTAGGTGATTCGGCACCGTTATCACTCAGACACTGTTTATGTGCAAGGTCTTTTCGAGAGATCAAATGATGATTCGGTATGACACTCTCTGACGCATTCAGATATAATATTTCACGGCTCAGTACAGACTACGCCAGAAGATTCGAACAGATATCGCAAAACGAATAATGCAGATGCTCGCGCTAACGCGGCCGATCAGTTTAGTCTACGCGAACGGAATAAACGTGACAAAATCTAGACAGGGCACAAATTCACGATTTGTAACTATTTAAAAAAACCAAGTAACCAGCTGATCGCCGGTACGCAGCGATATTTACGCGGCGCGAGGGCGACACGACCGTCGCCATGAAATTCCATAACAACGTACACTAAGAATGACACAAAAAATTACCACAAAATGTTGGTGCGTTACCGCATCTCCAGGGCTTAACTGTATTTAAAAAAATACCAACACTGCATGCAACTAACCTACGAATATTTTCCACGAAGCCACGTAAAGACCGATTCTAGCCGCTGCTGAAATTCACCATAAAAGCGAAAGATCTATCCTTGCTAACTATAAACGATACGCAAGATTCAGCAACTAGCCTCGACACGACGCTTCGGTACGCGGATTTGTAGCTTACATAAGAGAAACGGACACCTCACCGTACGTCGTCGTTCCCTGCCATATATACGTCTTGATTGTCCTCTGCGGACTCGGGGCTCTACGGCTTGACTCTCGGGTCAGAAGTAACGAGCAGGCACACACAAGTAACACAAGGATGACGCGAACAACGGGAATTGCAACTATATAATTTCGCTCGCGGCACGACAAACTATATGGGAGCCCGTCGGAGAAAAGCGTCCGTACGATACGGCTGTCAACGACCAAGAACACAAGGATCTAGCTCGATAATAACGCTGAGGTCGCGTGGGGTAGGTCGCGCCGACCAATCAGGTTACGTAGCGCGGCTCGCAAGCTCGCTCTAGGCGGCAGGATCAACGCAGATCAACGCGGCAGGGACGCGAAATTCGAACGCTTGCAGGATCTTGAAAAAATTCTTCGTCAGAATTCAGCGGCGTAAGCAAAAATGCAGCAAGACGGGATAGCAGCTCCTAGTAAGCAGCAGTGAAGCAAGCAGCTCAATACACCAAGCGATGTAGCAGCAGGATAGTAGCAGCTTTGAAGTTTCCGAAGGAGAGCGATACGTTGACGATCCGTTCCGCCGTTTCCCTTATTCCGCTTTGCCGTCTCGTTGACCGGTGCGGCGCTGAAAAACCGCGTTTCCTGGCGAGACTCTTTACATGCAATACCATGTGCTCACTCCCGGTAACCTTGATATGACCCACAACGCCTCCGTTTCAGCTCCTCTCTCTCTTTCTCTTTCTTTCCCTCATACTTAGTAGCAGGTGAACGTCGTTGAAAAATCCTACGATGATACTCGGAACGGTGAAGCACTAATGTTACATATACAAAAAAATAAAATAAAACTCTATTCTAATATATCGCAAACAAGCCTTGGAGGAACTTGGCGCTTTTATGACAGCTCGCTTTTCCGGGCTCCCGCGAAAATTCTAACTTTTGTGGCGAGGGAGGAGCGGTACGGATACACGTCACAACACATACAGACACACGCGCAAAACGTATTCACACACTACGCACGCGCGATAAACAAATGTTACTTATTGACAAATTTTTTTCCATTACAAAAATGCACATTTTTTGTTCATCATTTATAGTAGTAAAATAAAAAGTGTTAAAGATTACAGTTTACACTTTAATGTCATTTTTGAAAAGTTTTCCACGATAATTTGTTTTTCTGAATTACAGATTTTACAAGAAAAAATTGTAGAAAAATGTTTCAAATACGGATTTGTTTGGAAAGAAATGAGCTTCACAATTCATACAATTTTGTATCAGGCAATCGATTCCTCTGACTAATGCAACAGTTTAAAGACAAAAGCTTTCTTCTCGTTTTTCACAGTCTTTAATAGCTGTCATTTTGTAAAATATTGTTTGTAACTCAAGTTTAAGTTTTTGGTTTAAAAGGAATGTTTAAGCTTAAATTTGAGCGTTTGATTATCTCGATAAGAGATAACGAAGATTTGTTGCGGAGGTATCTGCTATTGAAAAATGTTAAAAAGTTGTGCTAAAGCTAGGTGGCCCATTTCTTTGCAAGTGAGTGTATTTTGTTTCTGATTTTAACACATCCTAGCAAACACAGAATATAACTGCTATATAACATAGAAGTAACAGCGTGATATACGTAATATAACAGCTGTTATACTCTAGTAACATTGATATTATAAAACTTTGTATTATAAATGTAATATAATTATGTTATATATCTATTATATTGTTATTAGCTGGTAATGACATAACTGTCATATAACATTTCTATAACTATATAACAATTAT